TTATTTTAGAGATGGGGTCTCGCTATGTTGCCCAGGCTGACTTCGAACTCCTGGGCTCAAGCAATCCTCCTGCCTCAGCCTCCAAAGTAGCTGGGGCTACAGGTGTGCAGCCCCATGCTGGTCGTTTAGCATTTTATTGAGAGTTCCATACCCTCTGCTTCCTGGATTCTGGAGTTTGCTGAAGCTGCAAGAGAGCAAGAGACAGAACTCCATCTCCTTTTGGCGACCTGCACCATTCGTGGGCCAGCTGGGATAGGAATGCACATTTTTTAAAAACCTCAATTTTGTCACATTTAAAATCCCCAAAAGCAATTTGCAGTGTTTCTTCTGACCCATTTCTAAGAGTAGATGTGAGGTCAGCCTCTAACAGCCAAGTAGCGAGCATGTATACTGTAAAATTAACCTAGAAAATCAGAAGTAAAATCCAATTTCATGCTTTCAAATGAATGCCCACGATTTGTACTGTCAATGGAATTATCTTTGGGCTTTTAGGGGATGCCCTTGGTTATTAACTAAGACATCCAGTTTTGCTACAGGGACAAATCTCTTACCTAAGCTGATATATTATTTGACAGATTCAGGCACGAGGTAGAACACTGTCACTTTTCCTTAGTGTTTTTCCGAAGGAATTTAAAGAAGGAATTTTAAACTGCTGTTGCAATATTTTCAAGTGGCCCTCACACAAAGTCCCATTACTGTTTGTTACATTTCAGCACATCTTAACGTACTACTTATAAACAAATGAAACTCATAGACACCGAATCATTTGGGAAAGAAAAATCCATCATGGTCCCACATGGAGTGCATGATGACGGATTGGCACCTCTTCACCCACGTGATTGTATGGGACAAGCCCTTCGGCCTGCAATGATTGGACAGCTTTTAAATTCTGAACTAAAAAGAATAATGCAATAGAGGGATTATTCCCAGTAAAATTAACTTTTATTTTATTTTTTGAGACAGAGTCTCGCTTTGTTGCCCAGGCTAGAGTGAGTGCCATGGCATCAGCCTAGCTCACAGCAACCTCAAACTCCTGGGCTCAGCATCCTGCTGCCTCAGCCTCCCGAGTAGCTGGGACTACAGGCATGCGCCACCATGCCCGGCTAATTTTTTCTATATATATTAGTTGACCAATTAATTTCTTTCTATTTATAGTAGAGACGGGGTCTCACTCTTGCTCAGGCTGGTTTCCAACTCCTGACCTCGAGCAATCCGTCCGCCTCGGCCTCCCAGAGTGCTAGGATTATAGGCGTGAGCCACGACGCCCGGCCTAACTTTTATTTAAAAGCAAAGGATTTATTTAACTTTTTAAGTTAAACTTTTTACTTGATCTGATCTGCTCAAGGAAAATAATAGTTCTACTTAATGATGTTGAACCACTGTCTTTTACTCAACCCGTTTCATTTTTCACCAGAAAGCCAGTTGTAAAAAAAGCACTGAACTAGGCATCCCAGCTCTGGGTCGCAGGCCTGGATCTCCATCTACTAGCTGGAAAAACTTAGGCCAGTGTTTACACCTCTCTGAGCCTCAGTTTCCTCATCTGCAAAATGGTATCAGTAGCAATTCTTGTGCTGCCTACGTCACAGAGCTGTCATGACAACTAAGTGACTGTCAACTGTAAAGTGCCGTCCAAATGTGAGGTGACATGATTATTATCCTCAGCTCTCTTTTGTAGAAGATTGAAATATATTTCTTCATTATCTGTATGTGTGTGATGGGCAAACACACGTGTTAGTCTGAGAAGCATATTGTTCATGTCCAGCTACTTTGCCAATCTGTGGACATTTGTGATTTTGACAGAGGGATTTGTGCTGTGGCCTAACACTTGTCAGGTGAGGTGTAAGTTATGCCTATATGCAAATTAAACTTCGCCTTTCTTGAATACGTGGAACTTTCATTGGTTTCTTCATGTAATTCTTTTCTGAGTTTTCTACATTGTCCTCTTCTTATCAATGAGCTCCTTCCGGTATTCTTTTACTTCTAAAGTTCAGAGTGAAAAAACCATTTAGAAGAAGCCTATGTAGCAGGTAATTTGGGAGACCTCCAAAAAGATATGAATGACCAACTAGTGACACTTTCTTTCCAGTGCTTAGATCTTTCCTGAGACATCTGCAGCCCACATTTGACTACCTCCAGACACGGAGAACTCACTACTCCCCAGAGCAGCTCAGTCCATCCGATGGCAGCTCAACGCTCTTAAACAGGCTATGGAGATAAGAGAAGCCACTGGGGGGATGGGGGGCGGTGCTGGCCCAGCAGTCACTAAGTCTAACCTAGGATGGGCTCCTGGCCTCTGTTCTCATCTATCAAATAAGACTCATATCTACCCCATACAATTACTGCAAAGGTTATGTGAACTAATATATTGATATAGGAAGATACTTTATCTTTTGCCAAGTAGATGAAGTTGTCCTAATGTTTAGTGCTGAAGGACTTGTGATACAGCTGTTGAACACAAGAGTGAATAGAGGAGAGGGGTCCCTCCTGCCCAAGTAGCTTCCTTTTCCACTTCTGAAAAGAAGACTGCAGGCTGGTGGGGCTCCTTCATCTTGTGGCTTGGCCATCCCACATGGCATTGTCCTGGCCTGCAAGGACAAGTCCGGGTCCTGCTGCAGCCACGCTCCAGCTGGACTCAGGAACTCAAAAGAGAATAAGCCCAAGACAGAAATTATTTTTAAGAAAAACAAGTGATATGGCAGCTGTCATCTTCACTTCTGTTCTTGTCTCTGTGGTAAGAGCCAACTACCTGGCTACACGGGTGTGGCTAGAGCCCCTGAGCTTTGAAGGGAATTGGCAACGATGAGAAAGGAACAGATAGCATGTGGCAGGGATGGCGTTTGAGGATTTCTGAAATCTGGAGTTTGCTGGGAGCCACTCGTAGGGGTTCCATCCCCATCACACCACCTTTGTAATAAGCTTGAAGAAGACCAGGTCGCCAAAGAAGAATGGCACCCTCTCTTCTCAACAACGTCCCAACTTCTCTTCTGACCTTGCTCATCACATCAGTTTACACCGTAAAATATGAGTGCTGGAGTAGGGTGTGTGGAGGTGGCTCTAAATGTCCATTAAAAACTGGGGGGATAGAAGGAAGAGAGGTTTTTCACTGTAACTGCCAATCTTCAAATCTGTGCTTCCACCCTCTTCAAAAGTCTCATAGTTTTCTGGATCCTGGAGCTGGACAACTTCAGGGTCACTGTGATTATTCCAGTTGATGCTGTAACTGACCTGAAACAAGTGTGTGTGCAAAAGAGCTATTTTGAGAAGAAATAGGCCTAGACGGCCCCGTGTCCCATCCCACCCCACCCCAACCCATGGAGCCCAGTCTCCTGAGCAGCCTTCAGCCCCACCGGCCTCCAGCTCACTGACTGTCCCACCAGAGGGAGCCAGCAGTCGGGGGCTGGGGGCAACCAAGGCCCTGCTGAGAGAACATGAAATCAGTGTGGTTGGCCCTGATCTTCAGTCATTTTAGGAAAAGAACATAGAAGAACCTAGAAAAATACCTGAGTATATCACATGTGTAATGGGTAAGTAATACTTTGTAAAAGTTTTGACTCAGTGTGAGCTAACGATAGCACATACAAATGCTCCTTGACTTACAATGGGGTCATCCTAAGTGGAAAATATCATAGGTGGAAAATGCATTGAATACCCCTAACCTACCAAACGTCACAACCCAGCAATGCCGGACACTGTAGAGTGTCAGTTGTGCACCCTGGCGATCGTGTGGCCAAGGGGGAGCTGTGGCTCCCTGGCCCTGCCCAGCACCCCGAGAGAGTTTCGTTCCACATATTGCTAGCCTGGGAAAAATTCAAAATTTGAAGAACAGTTTCTCCTAAATACATATTGCTTTTGCACCATCATAAAGTTGACATGGTGGCCGTCTGTATATTAACTGAGGTATAACCAACATGCAGTGAAGTGCTTGAATCAAGTGTACAGCTTGAGGAATTTTCACAGGTGTGTACGCCGTATAACTACCCCCACACCAAGAACCTCCCAGCCCCAAGAAAGCCCCATCACATGCTCACCCAAGCCTTTTACCCATGCAAAGGCAAAATAGATATTTTTGCTATGAGTCACGTTTAAAAGAATGGGAAACTCTGACAGAGAACCCTGCTGGGTAGAAGCTTATTCCTGGGGAACCACTCCCAGCTCCTTCCACCCCTCTGAGCATGCGCTGGGCCCTGAGAAGGAAGAGGAAGGACTCAGCTGGTGATGTCCATGCGGCCACAGAAGCCGAGTACGTGACCATCACCAGACACCGTAGCAGGCTTCTTTGCAATGGCGGGACTGCTGTCCAAGATCCTGGCGGGTCACTGCTGTTCACAGGCAGCCTTCCTGGTTGGTGGAGGATGGCCCAGGCAGGGCTATTTTTAAGCAGGGCCGTGGCCTGCCAGGCCTTCTGGGCGGTAGATTAAGCTGGTGCGGACAGAAAGCGAGATGTGCCATCTACTTCAGATGGCCTGATGGCTGAACAGAGACATGATTGCTTCTGCGCCTGGATCCAGGCCCTAGACAACATGTTGGAAGGAGGTCACTCCAGCCCTTGGCTCGGGGCCTGGTCAGCTGCTGGAGAGAGGCGGATTTAGACAGTTTTCTCCTCTTGGACCTCAGCTTGCAGGGTTCATTCTCCAGAGCTAACTGGGGCCTCAAGGAGGGTACACCTGAGAGGAGGGAGAAACGACTCCCCCAACAGGTGTGCAGCTTCCCCTGCCAGCCCTTCCGTTCTGAGACCCGTCCTGCGCGGCGGGGCACTCGGCCAGGCCAGCTGCAGTCCCAAGAGCCCTTCTCAGAGCCCTGGAGAGGCAGCCTCAAGGCGGGCTCAGGGAATCAGGCCTCTGCCTTTGCTCCTCAAGGGGGAAGGGAACGCTTCAGAGAAAGAGCAGGTGCTAGAAAGAGCCAGGGCCCAGTGCAGAAGAGCCAGTGGCCCCCGTTCAAGGGCACGGCTCGGGGAGCAAGTGCGTCCTGGAGTCTGGGCCGGGATTGGCCGACACCCTCAGGCGCCGCCCAGCCCGGGAGTCTTTTCAAGGCCCGGCCCTGCCAGCTGCCGTTATACTTCTTGGCTGTGTGCGTGCAGCAGGACGTGGGACACTCCGGCTTCAAGGTCAGTGAGTCTGGGAAATTCTGCTTTATTCCTACAAGGGGGAGGCACTTCTAGAGCCACCGTGAGGGGCCCTGGAGGAGTGGACACAGGGCTGCAGATGGGGAGCATGTATAGGACAGGAACCACGGGCACTGCAGGCGTGTGAGGAAGTAATGGTGACTCAATAAAGAAGCCAGCAGAGTGTCCGCCCTTGGATGAAGCTCCCCACTCGTCCTTGCACCCAGGTGGGGACAGCTTAGCCCAAGACGCCAGAAACATGAGCACCCTGCTTGCAGACCTTCTTTTTGACAGTGAATCAGGCACTTTTCTTGATGGAAAAAAGAAATCTAAATGCTGAATGTTGACACTAACTTTGGGACAAGTTTAAACTTTAAATGTCTTTCTCTTGCAATATGCAGGGCCTCATCCACTCATTTCTGGGGATGTTTTTCCTCGGCAACATCAAAAGAGGTGCAAATAGTGACTTGGAATGAACGGACTAGAAAATTAAAATGTTAAGGCCCTCAAAAGGAGCTAATTACTAGTAAGCTCAAATAGCTGGACCCAGTTTAAACTGGTGAATATTATTGCTAGAGATTCATTTTTGAAATCACTAATACATAGGTAATGGGCCAAGTAACTGTCCCCCATCTCCACTGGAGGTCAAAAAAAAAAAAGCTGCAGAATTGGCCTCAGTGTGTTTCATCCATGGCAAAGGCCTGTTCTTTGCTATAATAACTTGGTTGCTTGGCTCTCATAGCTTATACCAGTCCTATTCTTGCGTGGGTGGCATCTCTGCCTTCAAATGTTTTGAATGACCAGAGAGTGACATTTGCCAAACAGACCAAAACGCATTGGTATCCTCAGTGTTGCCCTTCAGACATCTGGGAAGCATTGCCAGGCTCTGTGACCCTCACTGTGTCCGCTGCAATCAGGGGGGTGGCAGTTAGTGCCCTCAGGCAAGCATAAGCTAAACTGGAGCTTGCCCTTTCTAGAAGGTGCTTGCTTTTCCCGTCTGTGGCCCTCACACCTTGTCTGTTTCTGAACTCACATCCTTGGTCCGTTCTCTGGCTCCTGTCAGGGAGGAGAATGCGGCCACCACCAGAACGTGGCAAGAGGCCTTCCTGACGGGCGGGCCCTGCTAGAGGACTGGGCCGTACTCCACTGCTGAGCACTTCACTTCCGGCACTGCCTTTCCCAAAGACCTCAGACTTCTCAGTCAGTCTGCGGGTCAACGCACTGTCCCAGCAAAGCACGTGAGTGCCACATGCACCCCATGGACTCTTCTGGCTCCACATCAAACCACAGTCTTAGAGAATGGGCCATCCGCCAGGTCACCTCTCCTAACAGGGCAGCTGAGGAAGGTTCTGGAAACTGGGCTGGGAGGTAGGGTATGGAAAGGGGAGTCTAGGGCTTTCAGAGGCAAGAGGGGGACTGATCCTGAAATAGAGTTTGCCCCCTGCTCAGAGGCCCTGGGTCTCCATGTCTGCCACAGCCTAGGGCAGGAGGCACTGTCTCCCCAGAGGAAACCATGCAGCGCCTGCGTTGGGCATTTTGGGGGTTCCTGCCCACGGAGCCAAGGATCCCACAGGGAGCCAGGCCTGAAGGTGACTGCTGAGGGTCACAGCCACCTCTGCCTGAGAAGCCTCAGAGACTCCTTCCCTTGGGCAGGGAAGAGGGCAACCTACTCCTTCACAGCAGTTTAAATGACTAGACAGCTCCTAGTTTCCTATTTTCTTGACAACAATTTATTATTAATACCTTTGAGAGACAAGTCTGGTCCCATCTTCATCACAAGGGGGCCTAGGAAAGGCCTGTAATAGGGCAGGAATCTAAACGTCTCCTGCCTATGCCTGTCTACTTGCTGAGTATCACAGAGATGCCCAGGGGTGCCCATTAAGTTTGACGGTGTGCCCAGTGGTCTTGAGGTGACGTGAACCCTTTGCTCTCATAGAACAGGGAGGGGACAGCCATTTGCTACTGGCCTAGGAGACTGGCGTCCTGGGAATTTGTTCTGAGAGTTCTGTGGAGCTGCTTCAACCCCAAGGACGTCCTCTGTTTTGGGGTGACTCTCTGGGTGGAAAGCTGACACGTGGTCCTCCCCCTGGCTTTCCACCTGCCTTCTGGCCGGGGAGCTCAGACACACGGATGCCATGAACAGCTGGCCCAGAAATAACTCTGAGGCAGCAGAAAAGCACATGCGGTCCCCACCCAGGTGCTCAGGACAACCAGGAGGCTGAGGCTTGAGGCAGTGACAGAACCTGAGGCCTCCACATTCCAGAATGTCACGGGGCCAGGAAAGACCTTTAGACCAGGGCCCAGACTCCCTCCCCGTATGCCTGCCTGGGACAGAGAGAGAGTGCAGCTTGATGTGGTTGTGCTTGTATTTGAATAGAGAAGGTAGCGTAAGAGCAAACGGGATATTGTTGCCTTTGGCTCTGTCAGGGCTCTTACCACAAAATCTTCCTGGCTTGAAGCCCAGGTGTTCTGCCTGATTTTAGCCCAGATGCTGTGAGCAATGCTTTTCAAATCAGGAGCCATAGAGGTGTTCCAGGGAAGGGAAACTGAGGCAGATAGCTTCTATGGGGTGGAACTAGATACTACCTTTCTCCTCACCTTCTGAAATCCCCACGTGTGTAAAAGGACAAGAAAGGAGGGAAGAAGAGAGAAAGCCTGAGAGAGATGCCAGCTGGCCCAGCACCCCTGCATGGCTTGGCAGGCACACTGGGCACCTAGCGTCAGAGTGGAGCGGGCAGAAATATCCCTGGCAGGCGTGCTACTTCAGCAGGGAAGGACACGGAAGGAGAACAGGCTGGTAATATTCTGGGACTCTGGGAGGAGTCATATGCTCTCAGGTGACAATCCTGTGCCTAGGAGCTGCTATCTTGGGGATTAACTGAGTGAAGTGGCCGGTGGCTCCACAAGTCCTAAGCAGCAAGGCAGGGTTTCCCTCCAATTGCTGGTCAGTGCAGGGAAGCATGTGAGGTGTTGGGGTCCACAAGGAACCCAAATCCAGGGCTAAAGACAAGCCTGGGTTCGAATCCCAGCTCTACCAACGTACTGGCATGGAGACCTGGAGCAGGTCACTTCACTTCTCTCGAGCCTCAGTTTCCCCACCCACACGATAATGCCTACTTGGCAGGACTGTTGCAAAGACTGAAGGTAATGTTTGTAAGGCCCCTAGAATGATGTGGAACTCATGATAGGGGCTCAATAAATGTTAGTTAAAAAAAAGACAGGAAGTTTTGACTCAGCGTGCAAGGATGGAAAGGATATTCCAGGTAGAAGGAAACACCCAAGCAAAGGTCAAAGGTGGGAAAGTGGGGGGGCCTGCTGGTGAAGCCAGAAAGTCACTGGAGACACGTTGCAGGGTAGGGCTTGGAAGAAGAACTGGGGCTGGGGAGGGGGCAAGTGGTCAAATCCATTTTGTGGTTGGTTTTCAGAGGCTGATCAGCAGATCTGAAAGTATGTGATAGGCGCCTTCTCAAATAAAGTCTTGTCCTCAGAGAAATGACAAAGTAAATCAAATGAAACACTTTAAATGGTAAAAGCGTAAGCTAAAATTGAAAAGCATGCAGGGGAAGGGGAAGACGAGTGCTGGCTGGGATGGTCAGCTGTGGCCTGGGGAGGGGATGACGGCGATCCCATAGCCCCAGGGCCGTTAGGGGAGGGGACTCATATTTATCCGATGCCTACTGCAACCTGTGCCTTCATCCCCCCAACACACCTGGGAGAGGTCTCGTCGCGCCCATGGTAGAGAGGGAGCTGCCGAGGCTCAGGCGGTAACACGCACGGTTCCCAGACCCGGCTGGGCTTGGCAGTCGCCTGTGCTTGGGAAGCTTTTTCACAATGTACAGCTGCCGTAGGCTTTGACAGCAGCGCACAGTCACATCGGTGTGCGCTCGAAATGCATCTCTGTCACTCACTAGCGTGTGGCTCTAGGCATGTCATTTGACTTCACAGAGGAGTATCTGTCTTCCTCTACAAAATGGGGCAACAGCATACAGGGTGCCTGGCACAGTAGGCTTCCACTCCTCCCTCTTTTCCTCCTTCTAGGGAAACTATTGCTTGTTTGGGTAAGACATACATTGAAGGCCCGAGAGCAGCTTCATGTGAGCTTCTCTGGAAGTTGAAAAGAACACGAGGAGGGGCTTAGGGTACGACATCACCACTTTTCGCAGCAGTGTCCGTGGTGGAGCTGGGCAGAAATGGGAGGCCGCAGGGCCAGGCCTCACTCTAGGTCTCATGGAGACTTTGAAAGGAGTTGGCACACCCTGTGTATGTCCTTCTTTGACTCATCCCCACCTATCATGACTTTGCTTATTTGTTTTCTTGACCATCTCCCAAAGTAAATTAGAAGCCCCCCAAAAAGGGGACTGTGTTTCTTTTGCTTACTCTCATACCACCTTGCACAGTGCCTGCACTGGGTAGGCTCTCAGTGAAGACTCACTGAGGAATGAATTCCATGCTTCCTGCTGGGGTTGGAAGTTGAACTGACCTGAGGCTTCCTGGGATCCTTGTGAAAGAGCAGGTGCCAACTGAGTGGGCACAGTGGGGTGGGGGCGGGGTGAGGCCAGAGAACAGGGCCGATCAGAGGGCTGAGGGGTGGTGGGAAGGAATGCGGGTGGCAGAGAGGGTTAGAGACCAGCTGCCCCAGCCTCTCCATGTCCAGCAGCTGGGTTCCCCGGGAGAAGAGGCCTGGTGGGCCAGCACCTGCCAGGGTCCTAACTGCTCCCCGCATACCAAAGGGGAGGCTGGATCAGCCAGCAAAGCACATCTCTAAAGAGAAACATTTGGGGAAGCAGATATGTGCTTTCTGTAAGATGTATGTGAGATGCTGCTGCTGTTTGCAAACCCCTCTGGCTACAGGAGTGGAGCTCACAGTGAGGGTGTCTGGATGCTGAAGCTTTTATCCCAAGGATAAACACCACAGCTGCTTGGGTGCCCTCATCTCCTTTCCCCAGGGATCTCTGAACAGAACAGTCCAGTAAGTTATGATAATGCTCAGGGAATGGGGGGAACCAAAAAAATGTTAAAAGCTTCATAAGTGAGCCTCAGATTTCTTTTTGTCCCAGTGGTTTTGCAAGATATACTGACTTATAAAACCATGTTTGGAAACTGGGCAAAGCCAAATACTGACTGTTGGTGGGCACAGATTACCTCTGACATATAAGCATCTTCCCAACTTTACTTATTTATGCCACATGTTATCATGTGTGCAAATAACCAATCAAGCCTCTTCGGAGCAGTGGCCTGAGCCACAGATAAGGCTTATGTAATACTTGGGGCCTGCCAGGTAACAGGGAAAAGCAACTTTCTGCCTGTGCAGCTTTTTAAAGACCAACTTTAACATGCAATAGAGATTTAGCTTAGTCATGAGGGAAAGTGGTTTCATTGCGAGCCTGGCTCTGGGGCCTTGGAGAGCATGGAACAGCCATTCCCAGATCACCAGCCTGTACAAGACCCTTGTTTCAATCTCACACCCAAGTTTATCAGTTGGGACCTTAATAGTGAAATTTTTAGTAGAGACTGGGTCTCAATCTTGCTCAGGCTGGTCTCGAATTCCTGAGCTCAAGCTATCCTCTTGCCTCAGCCTCCCAGAGTGCTAGGATTACAGGCATGAGCCACCACGCCCAGCCAATACTGGAACCCTTAGAAGTAGATGAATATTATTTCCAGAAACTAAAATATGGATATGATGACATCTCAAACATTCATATTTTGAGATAGACACCCAACCCCACATCACCTTCACAAGAAGGAAGACCTTTGAAGACTACCAGTTGTCTTTGGGCTATACATGGAGACCATTCCCTCCCCTTTCTTCTGACTCTGCCTCTTAAGATTTATCTTCTCAAACAGACTCGAGTATGGACACGTATCAGTGCAGAGGCAATTTAAGGAAAGAAAAATAAAGATCAAGACATTTGGGTCAGCCTCAGAAACGAATGCACTTCCTGTTTGCTTAGGGAGACCAGGTCCTTCCTGGATTACTATTGGGCACATATTGCCTGGAAAGAATTTGGGCAAAGCTTCTTTTACTTTGACGAGTTCTACAGTAAACCTCAGAGTGACAGCATTGCCTCCCTGCTAAGGAAGTGGATTTGAAGGTGTGTCAGCAGAGGAGACAGCCCAAAGGATGTATGTTAGTGTTGCTGCCACACACAAGAAGAGCCAGGAAGCATTGGTGCAACTCTTTGACGAGCCCTCACCCATTCTTAGAAGGATACTGCTACAACCTAATAGGGGACAAAGAAGTATATGTGATGAGATTAATATTGGGTCATTACAAGTCCTCAGGACAACGTCAAAAAATGACCATTTTCATCTTGTCTGTTTTTGGTACTACCTGCTATCGTCACGATTGAAAGAGTAGTTTGCAGACATTAGCGCAGAAAAAAAAAAATGGTCTAATAATCTGACTTCCTGGACTAACGTAGAAAAATAACCTCTTAAATGTTTTCAAGGTCTTTGATGCTCTTAGTTGAAACACTGAAGTTTAGTAGAGACTTCCAGGTGATGATTTACCTTATCAGGAGGAGTTTTTCCTTTACTGGGTGGCCCAGGTTTTCATCCGCCACCATAAACATCAACCCAAGTTTTTTGAAGCAATTGATTCAGCTGAGCTTGGAGTATCTTGCAGCTGCATCCTGGGAGCCTTCCAAATGTTAGGGAAATCCATACTTTCCTTATTTAGGCACCATGGAGACCAAATGAGTCTCTGAGTACTGATCGCTATCTGCTTTTTTGTTCTCCACTCAAAGACCCATGCTATATAGCTCCCTGCTTGGTGACGCTGTGGGGCTCATTTGCCCTTCTGCAGGTATCTGTATGGGTGTGCTTATCCTGATTTTCACCACTTGTTGATAATTCTATAAATACTTATTTAGATTTACACATTTTAATCCATCATCTGCATTTCAGGATGTCCTTCTGCTGTCATCACCTTTCTTTCTCAAATATATACTTAGTAGTTCATTTGTTATTGATTTTTTTCTTTATCTGCATTTTTCTAACTCTTCATTTTTGAAAGATGGCTAGACTAGATCTCTAATTGTATGTTTATAATTATTGCTTCCCAAAGTATTATTTCTCTGGCCTCATTTTTGAAAAATCAGCCGATGTCATTTCTTCGTAGATGAGCCGTGTTTTCTTTGTCACTGATATCCTACAGTTTCACTATTACTCATCTAGGTGTTAATTTCTTTTTAGTTTTCTTGGGTGATGGTGATGTTGGGCCTCTTGAGTCATGGATTCTTGTCTTTCATCAGTTCTGGAAAATTCGCAGCCACTCCTCATCCTTTATGACTTCTCCGTTTTCTCTATTTCCTCTCTCTGGGATTTCAGTTAGGTGTGTATTTGACTTTCACATTCTATCCATCAAGTCTCTTGTAGCTCATATTTTCCATTTTCATATTTCTTTGTGCTACATTCTGAGTAATTTGCTAAGATAAATTTTCCAGTTCATTTATTCTATATTCAGTTGTGTCATATCCAGTAGTTCAATTTGGTTCTCTTTTAAGTCTGCTTGGTTTCTATTTTGTTTTTTGTTTTAAGACAGGGTCTCACTCTGTCACCCAAGCTGGAGTGCAGTGGCATAATCATAGCTCACTGCAGCCTTGCATTCCTGGGCTCAGGCAATCCTCCTGCCTCAGCCTCCAGAGTAGCTGGGACTACAGGCATGAGCCACCATGTCCTGTTAATTTTTTAATTTTTTGTAGAGACAGAGTCTCTCTATGTTGCCCAGGCTACTCTAAAACTCCTGGCCTCACTTGCTTCTCCTTCCTACTTCAGCATCCCAAATTGCTGGGATTACGGGCATGAGCCATCGTGCCTGGCAGCTTGGTCATTCTTAATAGTCTCTTGTTGCTTGCTCATAAATATGATTCCAATACTTAGTTCTTTAAACACTCTCTATCTAGAGCTAATTTATATTCTTGTCTGACAACTTCAGTATCTTCAGTCATTGGAGTTCTAAATCTATTTCTTCTGTTGACTTTAATTCACTGTACTTCCTTATGTGTTTAGTGATCTTTGACTGGCAGTTTGTTAGTTAATCTCAATCTGTAGGAATCCAGGGTTAATCTGAGGAAATCTGCTGACTTAGGATCACTTAAGCCACTTTCAAAGGTCCTTGTTCAATGGGGTAGTCTCAGACTCAGCCCCCCCCTCATTGCTGATACCCTAACCTTAGTGCTCAGGTGGGTATCCACCCTCAAGGTAACCCAAACCCCTAACTTATTACTCTGAGCTTTGATACAGAGCTCATTTTGGGTGAGAGGAGTGGGAGAGTAGTCCTCAGAGATTTCCTGTACCTCTTAGAAGCCCAGAAATCCATCCTATTCAGGGTCCAGTTGTTGTACGGTGGCAGAGTCCAAAGGATCACCTGATCTATCAAACAGCTGGAAGTAGAAATTCACTGTTTTTGTTTATTTTTTTATATCATATTACTGGAGAAATGGCATCTATTTCAGGCAGTTTAGATATTAACAATGTCTAAAACTACCCAAACTTTCCCAAGCAGTATGAAGAAAAAACAAAAACAAAAAAAAGAGGAAGAAATAGAAAAACAAAACACACCAAAAGAGGAGCTATAGTTCCCTTTCTCGTTTGTTGATCTCTATGCTGTGGTTCAGGGCCGTCCTTTGAAACTATCTAAGCAGTTTCTTTGCTTTCCAGACACTCACCCAAGAGGCAAGGATGGCCAGTACCTTCTCTAAGTTGCTAACTGGCCGCAATGCTTCTCTGCTGTTTGCTACCATGGGCACCGGGGCCCTGACCACCGGGTACCTGCTGAACCGGCAGAAGGTGTGTGCTGAGTCCCGGGACCAGCACAAGCTATTTCCCCCCAGGTAAGGCCTCTTGGCTTTAACATAACTTCCAATGCCAGCCAGAGACATGCTTTCCCCTGCTGGAAACTGTCAGCAAGCATCCTTCTTTTGCCTCTGAGGATGACTAAGTCAAGTTGAGACTCATTAAGCCCCACAACCCGGGGCAAATACAAGGAAGTGTGGCATCATCATTCCTGCCCAGAGCTTGCAGTCCAGTCGAACGGTAATAATAGTGATAGTTAACATTTGTTGGGCACTTTTATGTATGCCAAGCACTTTACATGGCGTATCTGTTATTCATCTTAGCATCCTTTTGTTATGAAATGGAGGCTTAGAAAAATTAAGTAGTGCTCAAGCTGACGAAGCTGATGCAGCCATATGCAAATCTAGGCCCCCCCTGATTCCAGACCCATGTCTCTCCCACTGCTCTACCACCTTTGGGAAAATGCAATGTCATTGTCATCGTACTGATTTTAAGTATCAGCTTTAAAGGACAGTGCAGATGAGAAGTGGAGGAGTAGCATGAAGGGACGAAAACAGCCATATTTTCTCAGCCCTTGGAAGCTTGCCATGGATGAGACACCACGGGCGCAGCAGAGTCTGAGTGGCGCGCCAACATCCAGGGTTCCATACTGGCAGGTGTGCACGCGAGAGACAAGGAAAACTCTGAGGTGTTTCTCAGAGACCCTTACTGTCTCTTGTGGAAACAAGGATGTCTGAGGGTATCACTGGCAACCTCACGTACCTCAGGAATTCCTGAGGTGTGATCACTTGTGTTTGAGCCTGTGGTGATCCCGAGTCCCCTATTCTTCCACCAATGCATACTCCAGGATAAGACAGCACTCCATTTGATATTTTTATTATCCCAACGGATTTTTACTGAATGCCTGTTTCAATAGTCAGGCACTGTTCTCAAAAAGGCAGACAAAGCCCCTCTGGTGGAGCGCTCGAGTTACCGACAAAGGACAGAGAAATACATGAATTTCAAAGTAGTTCCACCCGCAGGGTTTCTAGCCTCTGCACTGATGACCTAAAGGACCAAAATATGGCTCTCCTTAAAGTTTTACCAGAGCTTCTGGGTTGCGGGGTGGCGGGGAAGAAGTCTGCATAGGATCTCAATCGATTCTCTAATTATGTTCACCCTGTCGACTCTATCCGTGAGCCACAGTCTGCAGGCCTCACAGCAAGCATCCTGGGGGCCTTAGGCAGGGCCACGTCCCTTTCTCGGGCAGCTCACCGCGACTACTTTTCCCAAGCCTGGCTCACTTAAGTTAGGACTCCCAGGCAGCTCTAGCCAGTGTCCCGTGTGCGCTGACTGAAGAGAGCCGGGTGGAAGGATGGGCAGAGACCCAGCCCCCCACCACGCCGGGGCTGTGGCTGAACGCCCCTCTGCTCCCCGCACAGCGCCGACTACCCTGACCTGCGCAAGCACAACAACTGCATGGCCGAGTGCCTCACCCCTGCCATCTACGCCAAGCTCCGCAACAAGGTGACGCCAAACGGCTACACCCTGGACCAGTGCATCCAGACGGGAGTGGACAACCCTGGCCACCCCTTCATAAAGACCGTGGGCATGGTGGCTGGGGACGAGGAGTCCTATGAGGTAAAACTACACCAGCTGTTGGTTCCGCAGTGCGGGGTGGGGGTGCTGGGATGTTGAAGTGCACAGTCCCAGAGTCCTCTTCTCTGCGGAAGCCAGCTCCAGCGGAACCATCTGGAATGCTTTCTGGAACAATGAGGTCTACAGCTTCCCAGGGACAAGGCTTCTTTTGCTACCGCCCTGTTATTGCTCCCCGTGGAGGAATGAGTTGCATGAGAGAGCTCTCTGAGCCTGTCAAAGGGATAAGTTGGCATAGAAAAAAAAAATCTAATGTTATGTATTCACCAATAAGACGTTAGGAGCAGGTGCATTTGTGGCTGAGCTTTATTGGGTGTGGGTTGGGAAGAGGGTTCAGTGTGCCTTTACTTTAGGAATTCTCTTCCTGTTACTGATTGGACAGCCACTGGAGCCCAGACTACCAAACTCACCAAGTCTCCTGGACAAATGCCATGATCTCAGCATCCTCATCCTTGGTGTAGAAGCATGAGATGGTTTGGTGCTAGCAGAGTTCAACCACCATGCACCCCTCTCTGCAGAGCAGCCTCTCCATCATGCAGCCCTCCTCCCTCACGTCCCCCCTCTTTGTGCAGGGAGCCGAAGGCAGTTCCCTGGGAAGGTAGCCATTGGGAGAAGAGAGGGAGTAATTTTCAATAAACAAGACTGGCAGCTCATTTCTATACAGCTCTGGATCTGGTTTGGGACCAAACAAGACCTGGCTCCCTCCCCACTTCCCACAACTCCCAAACACTGCAGGGTGCTCTGTTACAACTTCTCTTCACATTCATTTATAAAGGATATCCCTGAAGTTGTTTTGTTTTGTTTTTAGAATAGATTTTGCACAAGACCCTTTAGGCTAGGAAAGGAAAGGTCCTCACAGGGTGAGAGGTCCCTGCTTTGCCCTACCTGCTGCTATGTGCTTTTCTTCTGGTGCAGCCGGGTTTTCCATGAAGTTAATGTCACTTAAACTTTAGAATCTGACCTCCTCTTTTGAGAACAAAACTGCTGATAGGGCAGCTTCTTTTATCCCACAAAAGCAAAAACTTGTAGGAAACCCCTCAAATTCTTAACCACAAGATTTTCTTAGCCTGATGGCAGTGAGCTTGGCAGAATCAACCGGGGATGAGGTTAAGGTGACAGAGTTCAGTGGCCCTGCCCTCTCTCAAGGGGCAAGATTCCTCTAAAAGGTTTTCTTTGGTGGAAGTTTGTTGTTATTATTATCCACCAATCCATTCTCACACCCATTTCCTGCATGGCAGCACTGAGAATTTCAGAGGAGGGCATTGACTTGGCCCATAAGATAAAAAGGCACGAGTGACTGGAAAGCTTTTAACAGCAGGTGAACCAATTAAATAGGAAACAGAAGTATCTTCCCTCCCGCAGGTGTTTGCTGACCTTTTTGACCCCGTCATCAAACTGAGGCACAACGGCTATGACCCCAGAGTGATGAAGCACCCGACGGATCTGGACGCATCCAAGGTAGGCGCCAGCCTCCCTCTCTCCCTTTAGGCTCCAGCCTCCCTCTCTGCCTTCCAGTGCTCCAGAGCCCCGGCGAGGAGAACTGGAGAGCCGGGCTCCCGGCCCTGAGCCCGAGGCCCCTTGAAAACTCTGGAACTGCCTGGGGTACAGCCTACTTCCTTGAGGGCCACAAAGAAGGTTAGGAAGATCCCAAAGTGTTTGCTTTCCTTAATAAATACCATTAGGGTAGAGCTGGTCACTGGAAACTTTAAACCTTTCCTACAGCAACTCCTTTTTGCATCCCAAACCACCTAGTGAGGGTAAAGGCCCCCAGACTGCGTTGTAGAAAACAGCTCTGCCCTTTACTTACCTAAGGCCCCTGCCCCAAGGATTCCCGACTACGTCCAACATGCAGGCTGTGCAGTCGTGCACAGGGCCTGAGGGTCCCCGGGCAAAGTGCGGGCCGGAGGATCGGCACCCACTGTGGCTGTGGCGGGCCCGCAGTGACCCCACGCTCTGCTCGGCAGGTCACCCACGGGCAGTTCGACGAGCGCTACGTGCTGTCGTCCCGGGTGCGCACGGGCCGCAGCATCCGCGGCCTGAGCCTGCCGCCCGCCTGCAGCCGCGCCGAGCGGAGGGAGGTGGAGAACGTGGCCATCACCGCCCTGGAGGGCCTCAAGGGGGACCTGGCCGGCCGCTACTACAAGCTGTCGGAGATGACAGAGCAGGACCAGCAACGGCTCATCGACGTGAGTGGCCGGTGGGGCTGCCAGGGGAGGGGCTGGACCGAGAGCAAGGCCTCCTCCTCCAGCTCAGCTCCAGCCCCCGTCCTGGCTGGAACTTAGTGGGTTCTGCCCCTGGGGCTCTGCCAAGGGCTGGGCCAAGTCTGGGGCTTCTGCCTGTTCAATATAAGGGAGGAAGATGAGGCTTTAAATTGTACTTGTTAAACCATGGATATACTGTATGGATAGCGTCTGCATAGGAGACTCCAGTGTGGAGTTGGTGGACTGGGGACATGGGGTGGGCATGAATGGAGGGTCCCCTTGCTTGTTGATAAATGGGAACAGTTAGGTGTGGACATCCTGTCTGGCAGATAGTCTCCACTGCCCCACCCAAAGAACATCCTGGAAGCTAGAAAAATCTAGAAGGGAAGTTCCACGTGCAAGGCCTACCCTGACACTCTGAGCTGATTCCTGCTGCCTCCACTGTGTCTGTCCTCCATGGCTTCTCTTTGGCACTAGGGCAGACAAAACCCAAGTCCCTTACTTATTTTCCCCTTAGCACAGCTAAAACTGGATGGTGTTTTAGTTAAAACTTTAAACTCCAAAGAAAAGCAGAAACAAAATTCTATCATTTCAGAAGATGCAAATGCCATAATATGTGTTCCATTTCCAAACCAGACAGGCCAGCTAGGTGGTCTGTGGGCCTCAATCTCCTGGTCTCTGTGGCCATCGGGCCAACCAGTCCCCTGCCCCATTACAGAACAAGCCCACTTGCACCTCAGGTACCCACTCTGGTTTCCTGCCTAAGGGACCTGCTGCTTTCCAGGCAGTGAAAGTTCACAGTCCTCTCCTAGCTCAAATCTCTGATCTGTCCCATTTCTTAGGGATTGTAGGACTCCTCTCCCCATAGCTCTTGATTTCTTACTTCAGTATAATCATATCTGATTCTGTGTTGTCTACATGTCTCATAATACAGTATGTATATTGCTATGCAAGAGAGGATAGTAGATACACAGAAAGTAAAATATCGGTCTTTTGACCCTGATTCTGATATGTGGCATAGTATATTGAAGCAGTTAAAGGCACAGTTTGGGGAGTCATAGAGGTCTAGGTTTGAATCTAGACTCTGTGACTTCCCAGCAGTGTGATATTAGGTTTTCTTATCTCTCTGAATCTCAGTTTTATTCACGTACAAAATAAAATAATCACACTTTGTAGAGTTGTTGTGAGGATTAAAGGAACAAATTAAAAGCACATAGCATAGAGCCTGGCATATAGTGAGCATTAAATTAATGGTATGTATTTTTACTTATGGGTATTATTGTACAACTCTAATACTTTTCAGTGAAAGAAATTATAATAATAAATGAGCCAGTAATGCTAGAAACATAAAGAATGGTGGCTGTGTAGAAGAGACTTTTCAGGATAGCACCCTCATTCATTGTCACTCTGCCATTGCACAGGGTGTGTGTTGGTGTTGTAGACACACTCCATAGTGCTGTAGTGAGCATTTCCATCTGGAATAAGCCAGTGGTTTTCAGCCTTAGCTGCATGCTAGAATCACCTGAAGAGCTTTTAAAAATCCCAGTGCTCAGACCATACCCCATAACAATTAAGGCAGGATCTCTGGGGGATGGGAACTGGGCATCAGCATTTTTTAAAGCTCCCAGCTTATTACAGTGGGCAGCCAAGGCTGAGGCCTAACAAACCTCAGCAATTGTAAGTGAGTTGGAACTTGGTCACCTGGCACTTGCAGTCATGTCTGATCTCATCAGTCTCTCCTCTCTGCTTTGTCCCTTTTGGCCTACAGGACCACTTTCTGTTTGATAAGCCAGTGTCCCCTTTACTAACATGTGCTGGGATGGCCCGTGACTGGCCAGATGCCAGAGGAATCTGGTATGGATGTAGCATTTTTGCATTTGCTCTTTCGGATCGCCTGCTTGTCCTAACCTGAAGTTGTTGTGAACTGCAGTTGATAGCATGCCCGGATTGAGCTAAATGGAGAAGATAGACTATTTTGAAATTTTGTGTGTGTTTATGTGTATGTATATATATACCTAAGTATTGTGATGTGTCTAAGACGTGTAGGAATGTGGGCTCATTTGCATGAATTATGCATGAGAGAAAAGACTACCTTTCTAAGAAAAAATTAGCTTCACATTATTTGACCTCACAGAGAATCTGTTTCATGAATGATATTAAAACAAAGGAACAAAAAATGAAAAACAAGTATTAAGGATTTAAGAAAAACCCTAAAAGAAAAAGTGGATATCTAGTGTATAGATATCTTTTCTTGGCCAACAGTCCTCAGTCCACTTTGACTCCTTTACCTCAGTAGGTTACGGTATGAGTGTACCTCAAGGAACTGAAATGAGCAGCTCCTCAGTTGGGGTAGATAGGCAAGATCTATATGACAGACATACGTGAAATCTTGTGCATGTCAAATATCTTAAGCTGCAGGCAAATGCTTTTTTTTATATAAGCACAAGATTTTGGTTAATATGTTAGGAGACAAAATACTCTGGTTAGTGTCAAAGCCAAGCAAGTGTTATCATAGTTGAATTATTGTCATCCTCGTCTGAGGAACTAAGGGTACTATATTCTTTTGGGGCAAAAATATGACATCTTTAAGGGTTGGAGTCAGTCTTATTATTCATTCCATCAAAGTAATATTATTTTGTGGCACTTGTTCAGGCACAATTAAGTGATTAGGGCCATCTAAGTAATGAGGAAGGTGAAAATAAAGCAGTCAAGCTGGAGAGGTAATAGGAGTTTTCATGTGCTGAAACAGATGCTGTTAACACTCAACACCACATTTCTCTCTTCATTAGGCATAATTATGATAAGACATTTCTCATCTGGATAAATGAGGAAGACCACACCAGAGTAATCTCCATGGAAAAGGGAGGCAATATGAAACGAGTATTTGAGCGATTCTGTCGTGGACTAAAAGAAGTAAGATGTTATCAGAGGTTTCTGAATATTCATTAAAATAAAATACTTTTCAGTCCGGAAGGAAGACAGGATGGTAACTTTCAAGATAGAGCTAATTTTTTTTTCTAGAGATCAAAGCATTCTTTTGGAGTGGAACTTCCAGGGTAGTGTGTTTCAGAAAATAGCTGACTTTCTCTTTTTAGAAAGCTCCTGTGCTTTCCTCCCCATTCCACAATGGCTTGGGGAAGTCTGCACATCATTACTTATTTTCTGATTTCTATAATATTGCTCTTGGCTGTTCTAAGCATAGAGACAATATAAGATGAAACCTGACCATAGACTTATGAGAATACCTATATTCTTTTACCGTCTTGGCATGAATAATAATACCACCAACTAACATTTATTGAGTGCTTAGTATTTGCTAGGTACTGTGTTCAGCGCTTTACATGGTTCATTTAATTTAGTTGGATCATTTTAATATTTTGATAGAAGAAATATCCTTTTCCATTAAAGGAGTGCTATAAATTCATCTAAATTTCATTCATGCCAAACATAGGGTACACATGTCTCTCCCTGGTGTTGGGGGTGTGCTGAATGAATGGATATTTGAGAACTCTGCCATTTGCTCACTGTTGTTCTACTTGTAGGTAGAACGGTTAATCCAAGAACGAGGCTGGGAGTTCATGTGGAATGAGCGCCTAGGGTACATTCTGACCTGCCCTTCGAACCTCGGAACAGGATTACGAGCTGGTGTCCACGTTAAGATCCCAAAGCTCAGCAAGGTAATGTTTTGTGAGCAGCAGCCCTGTTGGGTGCCTCCAGGATCAGCTTGCATGTGGCTGCTTTGTGGAGGGAGAAACCATCCCTGCCCTTTCCTTAGCCCTTACTTTCTCGCCTATAATAGAAAAATAAAAAGAAAGGGTTAAGTTTGCCTCAAAAGGCCTTTGTATTAGGATAAAAGGGTAAGGGGCTGTGAGAAAGGGATGGTGGCTTCAGGAATAAGACCTTTAAATTGTCCCTTCAGTAACAAATCAGGATAAGTAGCTGGGCAGCTCTGCTCTGCTCCCGAGGTTTCTTCCGTCTCTTTTCTCTGTCTCTCCTAGTGCAGGTAGTTCTCAAACTTGAGCTTCCATGAGAATCACCTGGAGGGCTTGTTAAAACACAGATCGCTGGGCCTCACTTGAAGAATTTGCATTTCTAACTAGTTTCCAGGTGATGCCGAGTTGCCCCGATTTCTGTTGTCACTGTCAGGCCCCATATTCCAGCTGGTGGGAAGGGGAGAGAGCATGTAGGTGTGTCCATGCTGAGATTTAAAGTCTGGGCCTGGAAGTGGCACACATCACCTCTGTTCATTCCATTAGCAGGAACTTAAGTCAGTGGCCCAACGCTAGAAGAAGAGGAAATAGATTCTGGTGGGCTACTAGTAGTTTCTGCCACAGCACACCAAGTGAATCAAAAACAATTTTTAAAACAATTTTAGAAAATGTGCTTCCTGCCAAAAAAAAAAAGCATGAAAATTTTTGTTATTTAAAATGTCAATGTTAAGAAAATTACTCGAAGTGATTTAACTTCATGATTTTATTGATAACAATGACAACTGTTACATAAATGAATAATAAACACATGAAAGCTGGCCTCTAGAGGTCAAAAAAAAAAAGGGGGGGCATAGAACTTAAGAACACAAGGTTGGAGTCAGACTACCCAGGTTCAATTCCTGCTCTGCTACCTCCCAGCTGTGGGACTTTGGGCAAGTCAGTTCTTCTAAGCCCCAGTTTCCTCATCTCTGAAATCGGGGTGAAAGCAATACCTACTTCACTGGGTTGTTCTAAGGCTTAAAAGTTCCAATAAAGCGCCCTGGTACATAATAAATAAATGCTTTATAAATGTTAACTGCTAATATCTCTCATTATATGCCTTTTCTAAGTGAATGTGCCAATGACGGCGAATCAGTTTTGCTTATTGTGATACGAAGCGTTGCCCCTTGTCCTAGGATCCACGCTTCTCTAAGATCCTGGAGAACCTAAGACTGCAAAAGCGTGGCACAGGTGGCGTGGACACAGCCGCAGTGGCAGACGTGTACGATATTTCCAACATCGATCGAATTGGTCGATCAGAGGTAACATCTCTCACTTTCCTAACATAATCCGACCAACTCAGCATAAGAGAAAGAGGAAATAGAGAAGTAGCTTAAACAGTCTTATTTTTTTTTTCCAAAAAATTCAAGACCTCTTTTTCCCCCATGGAGTGTTGAGTCATGTTAGCTTTTCATTTGTAGCATTATTGTTCCATGGGAAATACCTGCATAAAGGTAAACATAGTGTAATCTGAGAATTTTTAGGCAAGTAAAGGAATTCACAGTGGGAAAGCTGTCACGAACCTGTCACTGAGATCTATTCCAGCAATCTTCAGCAGACAGAGCTCTATTATGCCAAAGGAACAGCAGTATTTATCACTGGAAAGTCAGAACATGTGTGCTATCCCTCTGAGGATAGCAAAATAGAATTTTCTCTTGATTCTGAATTCCTTTGATGAAGGTACATACTATCATCTTCATGTTGGCTTTCCTAGATACTTGATAGTTTTTAACCTTTTATTTTTAGGGCTATAGATGACAAATAAGGTATGCACTAGGAATAGATAAGATTGTGCTCAGGCTAGACACAGTGGCTCACTCCTGTAATCCGAGCACTTTGGAAGGCTGAGGCAGGAGGATCACTTGAGGCCAGCAGTTTGAGACCAGCCTGGGCAACATAGTGAGACCCTGTCTCTATAAAAAAATAAAAATTAGCTGGGTGTGGTGCACCTGTAGTCTCAGCTACTCTGGAGGCTGAGGCAGGAGGATCACCTGAGCTCAGGAGTTTGAGGCTACAGTGAGTGAGCATTAGCTTGGGTGACAGAGTAAGACCCTATCTCTAGGGGGAAAAAAAAAAGACCATGTGATTATGCTCATCCTTCAGATTTTATGAATACCTAAGATGAATAAGATTCATAGAGAATGTGTAGGCCTGAAGTGATGAATTAGATTAGGCATAAAAACACACGTCAGGAGTATGCAGCTGAACACTAAGCAAATACTGAGCATGCTAAGTTATACCAACTTATCTGGATATGGTCGCATTGAACATATCATGCCTATCATTAATTTAAAAGCCTCTTCTTCTCATAACAAAACACTTAATAATTCAGTGCTGGTTATTAAATTTGTGGGTTATCAAAGCTCTCTCTTTTTCCTTGCTAGTTTTTGAATATTTCACTATCTATTGACACTCCTACCAGTAAACTGAGGAAAAAGAAGCGAGAAAACACTCAAAACAATTAAATCAGCTTGTGTGCTCCCAGCTCTGGTAAGGAAGGTACTTAAGGAAGAAGTGGCTATAAATACAACTTCTAAAGTTGACTGGATAAGTGTGGTATAGTGAATAAAGAAAATCTGGGAGCCTAGCCCTGTTGAAGTCTAATATTAACTAGATATTTATTACTGGAAAGCAAGGTAGTTAGTGCTTTAAAAAATTTTAAGTCTAACTGTAAGTTAATAGGCAATCAATATAGAAGCTAGAAAAATGCCAGAGTATTTTTATTTTTTGTTTTCTTCTGAGTAGAGTGCAAGTGGCATTGTCATAGCTCATTGCAACTTCAAACTCCTGGGCTCAAGTGATCTTCTCTGCCTTAGCTTCCCAAGTAGCAGGGACGACATTGCCTGGCTGATTTTTCTACTTTTAGAAGAGATGGGGTCTCGCTTTTTCTTAGGCTGGTCTTGAACTCCTGAGCTCAAGCGATCCTCCCCCATTGGCCTCCCAGAGTGCTAGGATTACAGGGGTGAGCCACCACACCTGCCCCCAAAGAATATTTTTTAAAACACCACTTATTTAGCCCAATAGCCCCGATAACCATTGTGAATATGATTCTAAATTGCCCTCCATTCTTTCTTATAATCATTCAAAAAACTTCTAAAAATATTGTTATTATAATACATATTTGGTATTATAATACAATTTTTTCCCAATGTAGTATATCATGAGCATTTCCCCACAATATTAAATATTCTTCAAAAACATAATTTTTAATGACAGCATAACAAAGATAGTCTATTATCTATTTAATGTTTTCCTGATTATTTGATATTTTGTTTGACCCTCTCTGTATGTAACTTTAATCACAACTCTGATTTATTCAGTTAGAATATATTTCTAGGAAAGGAATCCTGGGTTAAAAATCAGGGGGTGCTGTTTATGACCAAATTTTCTACCAAAAGATTTCTACCAAGATACAGTCCCACTGGCAGTGAATGAGAGACCCATCTCACCACACTCTCACCAACACTGGGATGGACCAATTGGATAAGGAGAAAATATGTGTTTTCTTAATTAGTAGTGACTGGGTTTCTGATTCAACCCTCTCTCAGGACCTCAGTTTCCTAATGCACAAAAAGAGATGGGGAGGGAACTAGACTCTGCCATGCCTAAGGTCTAACACTCAATGATTCCTTCTATCCTTCCTGCTCATTCATGAGTTATATCATGTGTTTTAGGGTTGTCCAGAATTAACTAATGCTTACTATCTTAGTTTGGGTCTCCTTAGGAACAGTGCAAGTAATTTGTTTGGGAGGCGATCCCACAGACACAAATCATAGCTAGATGTGCTCTAGTTTAAGAAAAAAAAAATATTTGAAAACCAAAGTTCTAACATATTTTTAAAAAATCAGGAATTTTAGAAAGTTTAATATAATTTGAAAGTTTCCTTAAATTAATGAACTTGCTTGGCACAGTGCAAACATGGTTTAGTTGCCAAACATTTGATGTTAAGCAATTTTTCATAAAGACACCCACTGTGTAAATGATGATATCTGATCAGATACCATAGTGCTCAGATAGGTAGCTTAGTGGCAGGTCAGAAATCAGACGCAAGCCAAAGAACAATAGAGGGGTGTCATTGTGGTGTCTTACTTCTAAACAAATACTGACATTTTATAGCAGACATGGATGGGGATAAAAAGTGCCTGAGATACAAACCAGTGTTTTTCAAATATAAAAAAGCTTTACATACAACGCAATAATCCCATCTTAATCAAGGAAATATGGAGAGAAACCCTTGTGATATCTCTGTCTTCCATCTATGAGAAGGACCTCCAGACAACTCTCCTCCCACAACCGCTTAGGGAAATGGTGAGAAGGAAGAAATTGTTCCAGAGTCCATCTAAGTGGCAAGTTCTCGTTTATCCCAGTGCTGGTCCTGCTGATCAGTGCCCTGCAGGTGTCTTCTACTCAAATTAACCATTCATCTTTTTCACTATCAAAGGTTGAGCTTGTTCAGATAGTCATCGATGGAGTCAATTACCTGGTGGATTGTGAGAAGAAGTTGGAGAGAGGCCAAGACATTAAGGTGCCACCACCTCTGCCTCAGTTTAGCAGAAAGTGAACTTTCCCTTTCCCAATTTATAAATAATCTGTCTGCTGGTATGACAGACATAAAGAAGTCTCTACTCTGAGAGTTTTTGTAGACTTGGAAAAATGTAAAATTGTAGGCCTTTGCCTATCTTTACAATAAAACTCTCCCTAAATATCTTTGGTTTGTTTCTCTGATTTTTAAATAATACTAAGAAGAGCAAACACATAGAATTACAAGTAACAAAATAGGCAAAAATATTTTAAGGCAATGATTAACATTTGTTAGACCACTTACACGCACATCTAGATAACCCTCTGATTATCTAGATGTTAAATATAGTCAAACCTTTAACAAATTCTTTATGGACACCATTAGTAAGTGAGTAACTAATATAATAAACAATTTTCTGGCAAGTCCAGCAAGAGGAGACTATTTTTCTTGTGTAGAAATAAAGACTATACAGATGAAGACAAACACGGGCTATTTATTCAGAGTTTGCTATAGCAAGGGAGTCAGCCACCAACCATCACTTTCATTTGTATTTGGAGGCATGGGAAAGCTTTATGGTGAAGGAAAGGAGGGGGCTTCAGGTGAGGCTCTGATTGGGGTTGCAGGCACAGGGAAATGGAGGCAGGTTAACTAGAAGTAGGGTGTCCTATGGGATTGCTTTGGGAAGCATATTTGGCTGCATGTGGTTAGTTCTGAGTTGGAAGCAGGGGCAGAAATTAGGGAGGCTGGCAGTCATTGACCAAGTCCTGACCATTCTGGACTGATTGTTACATAGGTTGTGGTTTGGCTGCCTGGACTAGTTGCTTTAGAGGCTGTGAGAGCTCTGCTGTCATACGTGGTTTAGTCATCGTCCATTTGTATATTTAGACTCTCAAAAACAATTCAAAATGTGATGTCCGAGATACTGAAAATGTTCTTAGTATAGTCTGAAAGCTGAATTCTTCCTTCAGCATGCAGATCCTTATCTTGAATCTTGTTATTTTCCATCCATCCTGTGATGTCTGAAACCTGAAGGGACATGACAGCAGAGGTGGGAGCCAATTATGTAACAAGTTATGAAACTGCTCCACACACACAAGACAAATATCATTAGCTTGAACAACAGAAGTGAGATCGAGTTCTGCATTCTGTAGTGAGCGAGCACTGTTAAGTGCTAGAGCTAAAATAAATCAGTGCTATGATGTAAGCATTTGTCTTCCCTCCTGCTATTGTAAGAAAAATAAAGCTTGAAAAGAATACAATTATGTTGGTGCTAATGGGCACTACTCTAACTTTTGAGTGACAAATTGGTATGTGGTCGAAATTCAGAAGAGGAAACCATACCAATATAATTCAGGATATCACACTAAGTGCCCCGAAGGGGATGGGGGTGAAGGGCTGTGCCACCAACCAGTGCCTGAAGACAAAGGAGGGATCACAACTGCAGACAGTGGCTGATGTTCTTCAGGACAGACAGAGAGAGAAAGGGGAGAGAAAGCCATGGTGTCGTGGTCAGCACATTGACTCTACAGACACATGCTGGGGTACAAGTCCCAACTCTCCTGCTATATGACACTGAGTGACTTCATCTCTAGGTTCCTCCACTTCCTCTATATGAAATGAGAACAATGACTATAACTGTCTCATAGGGTTGTTGGGAAGATAAAATTAATTAGTATTTGAAAAATTCACTTAGAAGTTCTCAACACATATTAAGTACTGTGTATTTGCTGAATAAAAAATAAAAATAAATCACTATTATAATAATCTATCTCTGAATATCCCTTAACAGCATCTTTTAGGTCAAGCCAACAGGACTGACGGTCCCTCTCCTTAAGCCTTATGAACTAAATGGTAAACGAAGGCAAATTCATACAGCTACAGAAACATACACATAAATGAGCTGAAAAAAGACCAGATAGGCACATATACCAATACTTCATTTTTTTAGAAGAAAAGCTGAAAAACAAGCATTGGCATAAAATATATGGCTACTCATATAAGAAAGCAAGCCTTGTAATCTATACTACAACATCTTAAGCAACATCAACATGAAGAATTAACTGAATATCTAAAGTAGAGAGAATTCCAGATAACATCTCTCTCCTTTTCTGTTACTGCATTCTTATCTAATTCATTTCTCACCCGTAACTATTAGTTTTAATTCATCAATAACCACTCTGACATTTGCATTCAATATTGGCTTGCTCACAAATTTTTAGTACTTAATCTTTGAAATTCTTGATTTGACCTTTCTATTTATTTATTTATTTAATCTATTCTATTTGACCTTTAGTGTGTTACCAGGAATGTACTCCTGTGCAACTTTACCCTTGAAAAACAAAATATTTGTGACTAAAGACAGTCATTTAAATCAAGTCTACAATGTATTCCTAAACATTTGATCTGCCACCTTGCTTTTCTTTGAAATCCTCCATATTCGTTAACTATCCTTTTCTGACAGCACTTCAAACAATTTTCAGATTCTGTAACAGCACTTAACTTGGATACAAGAATATCCTTTCTCCTCAAGCAGTGCCAAGCATTTGAGTGATATGATCCTGTTTATAAAGTTGTGGTAAGTTTTAATTTTGCTTCAAGAAGACAAGCACATTGGCAATGTTGCAGTGAAAATAAAAGATCTTTTATGCGAAAGATGAGTCCAATGGAAGAGATAAAGGGAATTTTAACTATTAATTAAAATTCTAATTGAATATCATATCTTCCAGCCAGAGTAGACATAGCATGCAAATAGTTCCTGTTTACTAAGGTCTAGATCAATCAATATTCTATCAAACAATGATATGAACAGAGCATGGTTTTGAGTCACAGGCCTTTTAAAATTTGCTATATTCCTGGTACCTGAGGCAGATGCAGCTAGAGTAGGTGCTGATGGCTGGGAAATCATTCTGGCTCTCTTCCATGAGGGAAGGAGAAATAAGGGTCTTCCATGAGGGAAGGAGAAATAAGGGTCTTCTTGACTGCTGGGCTGCCACAGTAAGTCTGCGTATGGAGACTGAGCTTTCTTCCCTTATGCCAAACATGACAAAAGAGCATGTCTGAATGTTTTGAACTCAGCCAAAAGAAGTTGTTTTGAGATCAAAAGATTTTCATTAAATTCAGGTTCGGCCATTAACCAGTTGTATGAGCACAGTCAAATTATTAACTTAATAATGTCTTGGTTTCATTTGCAAAATGGAGATAATTCCTGCCTTACAAAGTTTTATGATAATTAAATAATCTAAGGCAGAGACTTACATTTTTTGCTTTTACTGTAACCTATGGGAAGAAATATATTTTGCATTAGAACACAATATGCACATATATGAATGTGCAAATGAATGTATGTATAATCCAAATAAAAATTTCATGTAACAAAATTTACCCTTACTATTTGAAATGCACTCTGCTATTTTTCTATTCTAGATTATCATATTTTCTTCCAGTTTTAAAAATTTCTGATTATAATCCACTAAACTGATTTCAAAACTTATTAATGGGATAAAATTCAGTTTGGAAAACACAGACTTAATTAACTGGCTCAATAAACATTAAATTCTCTCCTTCCTTTTTATTTCTCTTTCAACCCTTTAAATATTTTGTTCCATTGTCTTCTGATCGCCATATTTTTTGATGACAAGTTCATGATATTGCAAATAATTGTTCTTCTATATATGTAATGTGTCATTTTTCTCTGACTGCTTACAGTATTTTTTAGCAGTTTGTCTATAATGTGTAGATAACCTTTTTCATATTTATACCTATTTGAAGTTCACTGAGCTTCTTGAATATGTTGATTTATGTCTTACCTGTTTGGAAAGTTTTTGGCTATCATTTCTTCAAGTGTTTTTCTGCCTCATTCTCTGTATCTTCTCTTTCTGAGACTCTAATTAGCTGTATATTGGACCTTTTGTTTTTGTTCCACAGGACCTTGAGTGTCTGTCCACTTTTTATAATTTTTTTCCCTTTTCAGTTTATTCAATCATTTTCTCTCTTCTTTAGACTGGATCATTTCTATTTTTCTATCTTTAAGTTATTTAATTCTTTCCTCCATCCTATTCTGCTACTGAGTTCAACTAATGACTTTTTTATTTCAGATATTGTATCTTTCATTTTGCAAGTTTTCACTTGGTTCTTTTAAAAATATATATTCTATTTCTCTGCTAATATATTTTATTTTTCATTCATTGTAAACATCTTTTCTTTTCTTCACTGAGCTCAGAACAGCTGCTTGTCTTGTGTTATATCTCTGGGTCATCTTGGTCATCTCTGGGTAAACCTGTGTTGACTGTCTTTTTTCTTGTCACATTTTCTTAGTTCATTTTATGTCAAGTAATTTTGAATTGTATCCTGGGCATTGTGAATGTGATATTTCATAGAATCTGGGTTTGACTGTAGTCCTCTAAGAATGACTGATGCTTTTAATAGGGAATTACCTTGATTAGATTCAAACTTAAGTCTCATCTGCAATGGCTGGCAGTTCAACACACAATTAAGTTCTTTTTTTTTATTTTATTTTGGCTTATTATGGGGGTACAGATTTTAAGGTTTCAATAAATGCCCTTTCCCCCTCCCCCCACAAGTCTGAATCTCCAGTATGACCATCCCCCAGATGGTGCACATCTCACTCATTATGTATATATATGCCCACCCCCCCCCACCTGCCCAATACCCTATTACTGTAGTACCTATGTGTCCACTTAGGTGCTGCTCAGTTAATACCAGTTTGTTGGTGAGTATATGTGGTGCTTGTTTTTCCATTCTTGGGATACTTCACTTAGTAGTGTGGGTTCCAGCTCTAACCAGGAAAATATAAGATGTGCTATATCATCGTTGTTTCTTAGAGCTGAATAGTACTCCATGGTATACATATACCACATTTTATTAATCCATTCTTGTTGTTAATTGCTTCGAAGCTGCTTCATTCACATGTTGATCAAGCAAAGATTTTAGCAGAGTTTATCCAAAGAATTTGGAGTTCCACTTCTCTGGCTTTCTCTTCTCTAGAACAGCCCTCTGATGGCTATGATTGCCCCAGCCTCCATCTCCTAGTTCACTAGGCCACAATAGTGGTGGGCTCTGTATTGGAGTCTTAGCTACTCCATGTTGTACTATGTCTGTGGTCCACGTAGGCCAATGCTACAAAATTCAAAATGTACATTGTACAATCTCATCCTCAAAGA